ACACAGACAGATTCCTGAGGATGATTGGGATACCTGGATCCAGTCATGCCTGAACCTTTCATCTACCCAATTAATTTCCTCTTATGCTTAGGTCTCTGTCATTGGCCATTAAAACAGTCCTCCCTTAAATAGTCCTCGGTGGCCCTGACTCCCTTTCAGCACCTTCATGTCTTTCCCACTGAGCTGTCCTTCTCCATTTCCGGTGGCCAACTCCATCTCTATAGGGCAGGGGACATCTTCCATTCCCGTGACCACAGGTGACCACCTAGCCCCCACAGCCTCTTAGTCCCCGGGCTCCATCCCTCCTGCCTCCTACCTCCCTCTGCTGCTTCCTCTCTTCTTCATTCCCACAGACCTGACACTCAGATTTCATCCTCTCCTGCCTGGGCCCTTGCCCCAGCCTTCCTCCTGCCCTCCCCTCCTCATTCCTTTTCCTGCAAGGTGTTTTTCTGCACCCAGAGCTGACTCTGCTTGTCACCAGTGTGCAGCTCTCCCATGGCTCCCCGAGTGCCTCCGGACAACACTGCAGCCTCTCAGCCAGGCATTTGAGATCTGCAGTCTGGTCCCACCCTTCTCTCCCACCTGACCCCTTCAAACATTCTCCAATCCCTTCCCCACCACTCCTGTTTTCACTTTCCACAGCTTGTGCCCTCCATCTGGAATGCTCTTCTCTACCTCCCCATGCCCAAATATCTTTATCCTTTAATAAGAGCTCAAATGTCCCCTCCTCCAGAACCTTTCTTTGACTCCTCCTCCTGCCAGCTGTGTTTTTTGTCTCCTTCCTTTGCACATTCTTTGTCTCCTCCTTTCCCCGATCACTGAACATGGTCCACTCTGTCTTGCTCAGGGATTTGGGCCTGCGTCTACCTACCCTGATAGACCAGCAGGTCCTAACTTATCTATGACTCTCCAGTATCACCCCATTCAGGACGTGTTGAGTGAGTCAGTGAATGACTATTTCTCTTCTTCACTGTGGCCCACTCTCAGCAGCCCCAACCCCATTTTCCCTGTCCCTCTTGGGCCTCATGAAGCAACAGAGGGTTCAAGAAGAGAACATAGAATGGACTCTGGACTCAAACAGACCAGCATCAAGTGCTATGTCCAGACTGTGCAACCTTGGGCAAATGTCTTCCCCTCCCTGAGCCTAGTTTTAGCCGCCTCTTCTGGAGCTCTCTTTCTTCCTTCTTTGGGTATCTTCTCTCTTTCCATCTCTGTCTCTCTCCTCTTTCCTCTAGAGTCTGGCTCTCTGTTTCCATCTCCCTATGTCTCCATTTCTCCCTATATCTTTATTTTTCTTGCTCTCTCATCTCTAGAACCCTGTCTCCTCTCACTTTGTGTCTGTATTTGGATTTCTATGTCATATATCTCTGACTTTCTCTGTTCATCTCTTACTATGTGTCTCTATAGCTTTCTGCCTGTCTCTGTCTCCATTGCTCTATTTCTCCATCTCTGTTTCTCTGTGTCTCTCTATCTGTCACTTTCTCTGTCTTAGCCCTGCATGCCTCCCTCTACCATTCACCTCATCTCTCTTGGGCCATTCCTATCCCACTCCCTGGCCTGGCTCACAGCCTGGGACACAAATCCCTTAATCAGCATTTTCCTCCTATTCCAGAAATTATGTCAGTGCCGCAGTGGGGGTGGGGCCTGTTGTAGCCCTGGTCAGAGGGTTTGCCTCCCTGCATCTTCATCCACACGGGCCCTAGCCAGCTTGACCAACTTCTCAGTATTTGTCCTCTCCAGGGGCAGCACCAGGAGAAGAGGTGAATCTTTGTTTACATACATGTGTGCATGTCTCTGGGTATGTACCTGCATCTATTTTCAGGAATATTGGTGTGTAGTTATTTACGCAAATTAATCCATCCATCAATCCACCCAACCATCTACCACCTACCCACCCATCCACCCATCAATCCATCCATCCATCTATCCATCCACCCACCCATACATACACACATCTATAGGTTCCTCTATTTATTCATGCACTTGCTCACTCCTTCATTCGACCAATCAATATTTATTGGGTGCCTACCGTGTGCCAGGCAATGTGTCAGGCAGCAGGGATGCAGCAGTAAACAAAACAAAGTACTACCCCCATGGAGCTTATGTGCCTGGCAGTCCTCAATGAGCCAAACTCCCTCTTGCCCTGGCCTCACCTAGGCTATTCTTTCTCGCTGATGTACTTCCTGAGGCTCCCCCCACAACATCTTCACCTGGTTTATGCCTACTCCCCCTTCTGAGTTCAGTTCAAACATCACTTGGTCACTTCCTCAGGGAAGCCTTCCATGACCTCCTCAGACACATAGCATTAATTCTAATACATATAGTTTTTTGAAAGTTTTAAGCAATCTCTACTTAACCCAATGTGAAGCTCCAATTCGTAACCCCGAGATCAAGAGTCACATGTTCTTCCAATTGAGCCAGCCAGATGCCCCCATATAGATAGTTACTTGATGGTTGTACGTCTCCTCTACCTAACCATGGACCCTCACGAGGTTGGGATTTTTGTTTGCTTTGTCCTTGACTGAACCTGGTGCCTAGAGCAGTGCCTCGCACACAGTAGATGCTCAGTAAATTAAAAAAAAATTATTTAGGATGCCTGGGTGGCTCAGTTGGTTGGGCGTCTGCCTTTGGCTGGGGTCATGATCCCAGGGTCCTGGGATTGAGTCCCATGTCAGGCTCTCTTCTCCATAGAAGCCTGCTTCTCCCTCTAACTCTCTGTCTTTCATGAATGAATAAGTACAATCTTAAAAAAAAAATTGTGGTTTGTTGGGCAGCCCAGGTGGCTCAGCGATTTGGTGCCGCCTTCGGCCCAGGGTGTGATCCTGGAGACCCAGGATCGAGTGCTGTGTCGGGCTCCCTCCATGGAGCCTGCTTCTCCCTCTGCCTGTGTTTCTACCTCTCTCTCTGTGTCTTTCATGAATAAATAAATAAAATATTTTTTAAAAATTAAAAAAATTAAAAAATGGTTTGTGTGTGTTTGTTTAAGAGAGAGAGAGAGAGAGCACATGAGCAGGAGGGGCAGAGGGAGAGGAAGAGAGAACCTCAAGCAGACTCTATGCTGGGTGCAAAGCTCAATTCGGGGCTCGACCACAAAACCCTGAGATCACAGCCTGAGTTGAAATCAAGAGTCCGATGCTTAACCGACTGCACCACCCAGGCACCCCTATGCTTACTAAGTATCTGACTGCATGAATGGAATTAAATGAATATGGAGGACTGTGTCTCCTGGTTCCCTCCCTGTCTGGTATTCTATGCTGTTCTACACATCTAGTGGTCATGACAGGCAAGGTTCTCAAACTTCCTGGATGCAAACAATGTAGTGGCTGAATGCAAGGGTCTAGATTCAGACCCACATGGTTTTGAACTTCAACTCTGATATTTCCCAGCCTTGTGACCCAACAGGGCATTTCCTTTCTCTGAGGCTCAATTTCCTTAATGTCAAATGTCAGAGACCTGGGATTGGAATCTGGCTTCGCCATTTCCCAAATCACAGGTACGACCAGTACGCTACAGCTGCCAGCCAATGAGTAGATGTCTCTTTGGAGATGCATCATGGTAGTCTGGCAAGCTCATTTGTGTACACGTCTCTGAATGTGAGCATTGCTGCACTTCCTTCTATGTACCTCTCCTGGGGAACGGGGCTGCCTGTGGACTCTTGGCAGGCCAGTTGGGTGTGAGGGTCTGGCTGTGAACAGGCTCTGAGCTGCATGGACCTGGGTGCATACATCTGGGCATATGCCCCCCATGCAGGCTGCTCTGGGTGCAAATGCAGGTCCATTCCATCGGGGAGAATGAAGAGGTACTCTGGGTAGGATTCAAGGTGAACCTGGGAGGCATTTCTGGGGGATTCTACAGTGTGACAATGACTACAAATGTATATATACATAGGTAGCATTATATAGGGAGAGGGGTAGAATCTAGTTAGGGAACTTGTCTTAAGCAGCCTTGTCAGAAGAAGAAAGTAATTTTTTTACTTAGAGAGTATATTTATATGAGTGTCACTGGGGATGGGGGGGCAGCACCAAAGAAGATTGCGGGGTCTCCCAGACACCTCTGAAAGCTGCTGCTGTGACTATGTGGCTCTGGATTGTCTCCATGGGATTTGACCTATGGACCTCAGTTTCCTCTTCTGTGAAATGGGAACAGCATAATTGCACCCACCTAATAGGACCAAAGTGGAGATTAAATGAGAAAATGCTTTCAAAGCACATAGAGTCAGTGCCCAGATCACAGTCAGTAATCTGGCAATTATCATTAACTTCTATTAATATGGCAGTGACTCTTACTTGCTGCTTTTGAGAAAGATTCATTAAGCACCTGCTTGGTGCCAGTGCTTTACTTATAGTGCCTGGTTTTTCAAACGTCTGGATCTCTTCGAAACAGGTTCATTGTCTATATACTTTTTTCTGATGAGGAAACTGGATCTCAAGAGCAAAGCACGAGGTCACAAAGGCAGGAGCCAGCCCTGGCAGGATCCAAAACCAGGTCCCTGCTAGTACCTCACACCCGGCTGAGATTCCCCATACCTGCTAAATCTGAGGCTCCGCCTCCCCTCCCACTGCCAGACCTCAGAGCTCCCCAGTGGGAGGACTCCAAGTCCAGGGGCTGATGAAGAAAGGGCCCCGGTAGTGGTGTGTGTGTGTGTGGGGGGTGTTTCCTGGATGTGAGAATGGAGGGGGGTGGGAGCTGAGTATTCTGGGTTCTGGGAGAAGTGACTGAGGTCCCAGACTTTTCCATCTGAGAGAAGGGGGACTGGGGGCCAGGACCTCTGGATCCTGGGGGAGCAGAGGGTCACGATCCTAGACAGCTGGATCTTCCACTGTGTAAGAGAGCTGGGTGTCAGACGTCTTGATCCCAGGAAATCTCCCTCCTTCCTCGCTGCGGCCGCGCGACTTCGGCTTTCAAGCCGCAGGTTCAGAGGGGAGGAAGGAGGGGGTGCAAGGGGAGGAGCCGCGGACCTGCGCCAGGGGAGGGGGGAGGAGCCGAGCGAGCACCGCGGCGGGCGCGCGGGGCTGCGGCGGCGGCGGCGGCGGCAGCGGCTCGGGGTGAGTCCGCTCCTCCCCCCTCCCCCTGCCCTAGCCCCCGCCCCAGGCCGATCCTGGGGGGCGGCCCCAGCGCGTGGGGGCGGGGGTAGGTGCAGAGGCGCGCGGATCTCCCGCCAGAGAGTGCGGGTGCTGCAGTACTCGCTGGCCGCCCCGGGGGAGGGGCACGTGGCCCTAGAAGGGGGGTCCCGAAGACACCTAGGTGTACCCCTACCTCGCCCACCTATCCCCCGGGCGTGGGGATCGTTTACCCACTCCATGGCCCTTGAGGACTTAAGACTCCGCGACCTCTCGAGGTCCAGGACATCATTCTTCCACCGTGCAGCGCCTTGGGACCCCGGTATCTCATAACCCCCCCACCTCCAAAAAAATTCCCATCCTCTCTGCAGCCGGGAGAGGCACTAAGGACTTCAACTCCCAGCAGCCCATGCAGCGCCAGGTCTGTGAAGTCTTAGCCGCGCTGGCGCAAGGCCTGCTGGGAATTGTAGTGTCTAAGCTCAGCGGGAGCTGGGGCCCCGGAGGTGGGAGGGGGTGGCTGAACCTCCTGGGGGTCGCCTGGGGTCGAACAACCAGTCCCAGAAGGACAATACGTGAAGCTCGGACTGAGCTTTTTCTCCTGGCCACGGTCTCCAGATCCGGCTCCTCCTCCCACCACCTGGCGCGTGGGGACGGGTCCGCAGCCCCTTGTCCGCCCTACAACCCCCATGGGCTGCCGCCAGCCGCCGCCTCGGCTGCCACCCAGGACACAGCAGGGATAAGCGCAGGTGAGTCTGACCATGCCTGTGTCGGAGTCCCTGGCCTTCTGCAATACCCCCCACGACACCTGTCCATCTGTGAGCTCTGGTCTGTCCATCCCTAATTTCTCCCTGCACTCTCCTTCCAGTCCATCTCTGATGTCTGGCTCCAAACCATGTGTGGCTAATTCCCCTTCTCCCCACATCCACCTCTTCCTCCCGGTCCTCTCTCTTTTGTGCCCCCGCCCCCATCCAACCTTCCTTCTGCACCCTTGTCTGTCTGCCCAGCCCTCCTTTGTATCCGTTTGCCCATCTGTGGTCCCTGGCCATTGTCTGTCCATCTGTCCTTTCTTTCTGCACCTCATCCATTCTTCCAACCACTGTTTCCTTTTCAAAGATATTTCTATCCTGGCGCTTACACTGTTCTTCTGTCCGCCCATCTCTCACACTCCCATAAATTACACACCAGTCCATTCTTCATGGCTTGTCCATCCCAAATCTCAATCATTGACTTTCCCTTTATCTGTCTGTTCATCTGTCCCTCTATCCTGGGCCCCATTTTGCCCTTCCCAGTATCTCTGCCTCCCCTCCCCATATCTCTCCCTCTTTCAACTTGGTCCCCATCTCTGCACTCTGCATCTTCTGTCCTGCCCCAGCCACCACCACCCACAACTGGTTCTTATCTCTCTAACCCAGTCTCTCCCTCTCTCTTGGTCCTCTGTCTGTCTACCTGGATCTGGCCTCCTTCCTGTTCCTCGAATCCGCCAAGCCCTTGCTCATGCTGTTCCTGCTGCTCTGGATGCTTTTCCTCACTCCAGCCCCACCACCCACTGCCCATGGCCAGCTTCACCTTGTCCTTCAGATCTCAAAGAGCCCCCCACCAGCCCACCTCCTGCTCCCTTTGTGACATATCCTCCAGCTATTTCTTTTAGAGCACTTCTCACAGTGTGAGCATGTCTTGTTTGTTTATGGGTGTTTGTTGACTTGTTTACTACGTGTCTCCTCTCACTGGATTGCAACACCAGGAAGTCAGGAAATGTGTGGGGTTCCTTCTCTGCTGGATCTGCAGCAGCTGGCACAGTGCCTGGCATGTAGTTGGTGCTCAATGAATATTTGTCGAATGCACGAGTGACGAACGGCTGTCCCCTCATCTGTGCATGGCTGAATTCGTCTGTGCACCCCTAATCTCTGTCTCCTTGTCTGTCCATCCCTTTATTGTGCATCCTGAATCTCTGCTCCTTGACTGGGCTTCCTAGTCTCTTTCTCTTTGTCTGTTTTTCCCTATTCTCTGCCTCTTGTCCCTTCACACTGATCTCTGTCCCCTTGTTTGTCCAACCCATTGCTGTCTTCTTGCCTGAACACCAAATTTCAGCCCTCCTGTCCATCTGCCCCTAATTTCTTCTTGTCCATCCCTCCCTAATCTACATCCCCTTGTCCATCTACTCCCAATCTCTGTCCCCTTGCCTATCCTTCCTTTTCTTTCTCTTTTTATCTCTTATCCACCCCTCTCTCAATCCCATTCCCCATCTGTACCCTTGCCTGACCCGTTCCAAGCACAGAACCCACCGGCTACCATGTCAGGAGACTACGAGGATGACCTCTGCCGGCGGGCACTCATCCTGGTCTCAGACCTCTGTGCGCGGGTCCGAGATGCCGACACCAGTGACAGGTGCCAGGAGTTCAACGACCTGCGAATTCGAGGCTATCCCCGGGGCCCAGATGCAGGTCAGCATCCCCCAGCTGTCTCGGCCAGCCCCCTGTGTCCCCTACATTCAGTATTTTCAGAAATTTCGAGCAGACCTGCTCAGTCTTCTGTTCCCTAGGTGGCCGTGGCCAGTCCCTCTTACAGTCTCACCTCCATCCTGCCTGCTGCTGGTCCCCCCAACCTTTCATCTAAGGAGAAGGAGCTGGGTGGGCCATTTGACCCCTGATCTTTTGGGTTTGGCCCTCTGAGCCTCTTGCCCACTGCCCACCCCCAACCCCCAGCCACATACCTATCCCCTTCACATATATTTTGTAAATTTTGCATAGTGCTTAAAGGCTTAGGCTCTTTAGTCAGGCTGTCTGACTTGTCTGGCTTCAAATCCCACCACCCCTACTTACTAATGGGTGACTTTAGGCAAGTAACACTTCTTCTGTGCCTCAGTTTCCTCCTGAAAATGGGGATAATAAAAGTGACTACCTCCTAGGGCAGCTGAGAGACTCAAATGACAGAACACATGTGAAGTACCTAGAACAAGCTGGGCACACAGTGGTCATTCAATAAATGCTTGGATGTGCTTATTGAGCACCGATTGTGTACCAGGCAGCATGCAAGGGCCTTGGCATATTTCATCAACTACTCACAACGATCCTATGTGGTACCTATAATCCCCATTTTCAGTGGGGGGAAAAGACCCAGAAGAGTGAAGTGACTTGCCCAAGGTCACCCTACTAGGAAGCCGTGGGGTTCTGAGAGCAAGCAAATATTATGAGTGCCCTTGTCCAGTTGAGGAACCCCAAGGAAGCATGTGCTGAGAGGTTATAATGACAGTCACACTTGCTGAGTGCAGGGCAGGGCTCAGCACCTCATGTGCAGGATGTCCAGGGACAGGGATGAGGAATGAGGTTCAGAGAGAGCCATGGTTGCTTGCTCAGAGTCTCGCAACCTGTAGCAAAAGAGCCAGATTTGACCCCAGGAAGTCTAGTATACTATCATCATTTGGGGGGTCCCCAAGTCCACCCTCAGTTTCAAGGATTCCCTGGAAGGACTCACAGAAAAGCTGTTATACTGATTATTATGTTGCATTACAGCAAAAGGATGGAGGTTAAAATCAGTGAAGGGAAAGATACATAGAGTAGGGTCCAGGCAAGACCAGGCATGAGCTTCCAGTCTTGACTTCCTAGACATGGCTAATGTCTGACTGCCTGTGTGGCTAACTCTGACCTCCAGCTCCTCTAGAGGCCGAGCTGATATGGCATGTCATGGCCCAGTACCCCAGCATCAATCACATTGTTACCCGGACCATCTGGCATGGTTCAAGATTCCTCAGGTAAACAAAACCACTTTCAGGCAGGACGTTCCAAGGGCTTAGAAGTTCCTTCCCAGGAGCCGATCAAGGGCCAAACATTTCTTGGGCAAGGTTCATCTTTTCCTGCACAACTACACCACCTTGCCAAGCCCAAAAGTCTCCCCAGACCAGGCAGACAGGAATGAGAAATCCATTAGAGTTTGAAGGATTGATGTTTTGACTTGGAGAGGGTCTGGGTCAGGCTGATGTTAGGGGAAAACAGCTGATTTTTCCTCTCCTCTTCTCTGCCTTGCCCTCCCAAATGGCCCCCAGGCCCCCTTCTCTTAATTCTTCCCGTGTTCAGGAAGCTGGAAAGCCCTTGCTTTGCTTTTTAGCAGGTCTCGAGAACTTTAAGCAGATGTGGGTCACTTGGAAAGGAGCACCCTAAGGGGTGGGAGGAGGTAGGAAGTTCAGAGTTCTGTGCCTGCCTGTTGTATGGTCCAGCAGGATCACTTCCTCTCTCTGAGAGCCTCACCATCCTCATCCGTAAAATGGGATAAGTCATAGTGCCTTGGGGATTAACACCAGGGACTGCTGACTTAGGTTCACTGGTCAGTTCAGGCCCGGAGGCATCCCCTCACCACCCAGAATTGCCTGCAGTGACAGGATACAGCCATCCCACTCAGCTGTCCTTGCTGTGAATAGCGCAGATACCTGCTCCTTCTCCCCAGCTGCCATAACCTATAGTCTATACAGGGCATGTGTTTCCCCTGTGTTCTATCTCGCTGAGACCCAGGAGTCAATCCCAAAACAAATTCACACTTCTTGGGGAAAACCTAATTCCTGGTACCACGTATTGAAATGAACCGGAAATCTTTGGTTCAAGAACTGGGCTGTCCCTGGGTCTCTCTGGAAGGCACATCAGCACACAGTAAGCATTCGGAATGTGTCAGCTGTGGTGGTGGTGGTGATGGATATGCTTGGTGGCAGCAACAAGACCTGTTAGCCTAATAAAAATCTATGTCTGAACTACCATTTATTAGGGAATATTGAAGTGTAGCAGCACAAGAAGACCTTGGGTTGGGGAGCTAGGCACTCCAACACAAATTCTAACTCCATGGCTGATGGCTGTGGGACTCTGTACAGGAGACTTTGTGTCTCTTGACCTCAGTTTCCTTTTGTGGAAAACAGGCATAATAATGTTGCCAATCTCCTCTGGTGCCTGCCAGGCATAAGTAAGCTAATACCAATAAAGCACTTATGTGCCTGAAACATAGTAACCACTCAATGATATCTGCCTTTACCTTCTCCTGCTATGCATTTATGTGAGCATTTACCTCTTGCACTCCTTAATACCACTGTAAGAGGCAGGACTGATTTTTCCTATTTGGCATATGGGGAATGTAAGGCTCAGAGTGCTTAAGATGTGTTCCCGAGGCCACACAGCCAACAGGTTTGAACCCTGACCTGCCTAACTGGGTCACACAGTCTCCTCTTTCCTTGATCATCTCTGAGCATTTGGGGGGACATTGGTGGTGTGTCCTCTTATGGGGGGCTGGCAGGAGCAGCTAGTGATTAAGAATCAGATCTAAAGACAGATTTGCTACTCTTTCAAACCCCAGATCTGTCATTTACTACCTGTGCAGCATAATACAAGTCACTCAACCTGTCTGTGCCTCAGTTTCCTTATCTTTAAAATGGTTATATAGAGACACCAACCTCGTGGGGTTGTGGAGCTTAAGTAACGTATGTAAAGCACTTAGGACAATGCATGGGAAATGCTAAAGGCTATCTCTTTGGGGACAGCAGTGGGAGGATGAACTCTGACCCCACCCTGACCCCTGACCTTTATCCTCACTCTCTCCAGACATCTCCGTGAGCCTGCTGTCGGTCATCGTGACATTCTGTGGCATTGTCCTTCTGGGCGTCTCCCTCTTCGTGTCCTGGAAATTGTGCTGGGTGCCCTGGCGGGACAAGGGAGGCTCAGCAGTGGGCGGGGGCCCCCTGCGTAAAGACCTAGGCCCTGGGGTTGGGCTGGCAGGCCTGGTAGGTGGCAGTGGGCACCACCTGGGGGCTGGCCTGGGTGGCCATCCTCTGCTGGGGGGTCCGCACCACCATGCCCACACCGCCCACCATCCGCCGTTCGCTGAGCTTCTGGAGCCAGGCAGCCTGGGGGGCTCTGACCCCCCTGAGCCCTCCTACTTGGACATGGACTCGTATCCAGAGGCTGCGGCAGCTGCAGTGGCCGCTGGGGTCAAACCAAGCCAGACATCTCCTGAACTGCCCTCTGAGGGAGGCGCAGGCTCTGGGCTGCTCCTGCTGCCCCCAAGTGGTGGGGGCTTGCCCAGTGCCCAGTCGCATCAGCAGGTCACAAGCCTGGCACCCACCACCAGGTGAGACAGGCTACTGGGCTGGGGATCCACTCTGAACTTCTGTTCCTCCTCTGTCTCTTTCCCAGATATGGTTTTCCTGAGCCCTGCAAGAAGAGAGGCCTGGAGGTCCAGAGTCTGAGTCCTGGGGCAGGAGGGGCTTGGGGTGTGGACTCCTAGGTCCTGGGGACAGAGGAGGCTAGGACAGGGTCTGAGGGAAGAGGAGCCTAGAGATCTGGACTCTGAGATTCAGAGGGTATATAGGACTCTGGGGTCAGGAAGGTAGAGGAGAATGAAGATTAGACCCCTGAGGTTCTGAGACACAAAGCAATTCATCTCTTTCGCTCTAAGCCAGGATTGGTGGTGGGACCTGGAGTTCATTTGTTCTGTATTCCTCATTCTGCACATGTATATCAAGCATCTAATATGAACCAGACCTGAGCTGGGTGTTGGAAAAACAGAAGTGAGCATGGCAGATAGACTCTGCCTTCACGCCACTTAACAAATCCAGGGCAAGCGAGTTCCCAAAGAGGCTGTCCTGGCCTAGCCAGGCCAGCGTGGCAGCAAAGTAGCTTAGAAGGCCACAGCTGCGGGAGTCTGAGGAGTCGCCAGTCTGGTCTGGGAGAGGTTGGGGCCTTCCAGAGGCAGAGGTGTCGCTGCTGAGACCTGCAGAGTGAGGAAGAGTTGGCTAGGCACAGATATTGGGGTGTGAGCTGGGCATTCCAGGAAGAGACAGCCGCTCATGCAAAGGCCAGAGGGGAAGGAGGTCACAGTGCATTGTGGGAACTGCCAGCAGTCACTGTGGCCTGAAAGTGTGAAAAAAGAAATCTAGGGAAATGTGGCTGCAGATGTGGGCAGGGCCAGACCACATGGGGCCTTGAATGGTGGGCTCAGGAGCTGGGGCTTTGTCCTGGGGGCACTAGGGAGTCACAGAGGGCTGTGAGCAGGAGGGGCAGGGTCAGTTCTGGGTGTAGAAAGACCTCTCTGTGGTCACACAGGGGAAGGACTAGACTGGAGGTTGATAGCCCAGGCAGGAGAGGATGAGGCTAAGCTGAGATTATGGGCATGGGGAAGAAAAGATGAGGTAAAGGGAGTCAGGGGGCAGGAGAGGTGAGACTTGGGATTGATGGCTGTGAGTAGGAGGAGTGGGAAAAGGTACAGAAGGCACACAGAGGATCTAGAGGATCAGAGGATCCAGGAAGAGTGGGTTTGGGGGAGCTCCTGAGCTTATCTGGGTCTTGCTGAGTATGAGGGACCTGGGGCAACGTCCAGGGGCAACTGCCCTCACAGGGATTGTCTTGGGCCCCACACAGTCATGGGAGAAGGTGTTCTCATCCCAGGCCCTGGTCAGGGGCCCAGGGGCTCATGGGAGATATAGTTTGGGGTCTCCAAGGAGGCCTTCCAGAGGTGGATAGATACAAGAGTTTGAGTTCTCTCCCCTCTCCCATTGTACAGATGGAGAAACTGAGGCTCAGAGGGTGTTAAGGACCTGTTCAGAGTCACCCTGGGAGCAAGGAGTGGCCAGGGGATCTGTAGCTGAAGGAGCCTCCCCCACTGCATCCCCTTCCACGGCTGGAGCCCTCCCACTCCCCCCAGCCCTGTGCCTTCCCCTCAACATATCTGGGGCTGCTGTGTCCAGTGGTGGCTGCCAAGCACTGCCCACCACTAGGGACCCCATTACGTGGATTTTCACCCCAGGTGTGATGATCCATGCAGGAAAAGGCAGATGAGCCCACAGAGGGGACAGGGAAATTTGGGAGGGGGAGGGACAGGCTTTGAGAGGAAAGGAGGTGAGAATGGCCCTGGCGTGTGACCTGCAGATGTAGGTGGAGCACTGGGAAGCAGGAGGGGGAGCAGGTTGGGGAGAAGGTATGGAGCCTGGCAGGGGGTCTGGTGGACAGCCCAGGCTGGGGGTCGATCCAGGCTGGAGCTCAGGATATAGATTTAGCAGACATGGGGCTCTTGCTGGGTGTGGAGACCTGGGATGCAGATGGGTGTGTCCAGGGAAAGCATGTATGTGAGAGAGGGGAGAAGCAGCCAGGGGAGCTGAGGGGGAAGCTCTGGGCTTCCAGAATGTCCCCCACATACTTATGGACAGTGCAAAAGGGACTTGAGAAAGGACAGGCCAGGTGGAGTGAGGGTGAGGTGGGAGAGGTGAGACTGGGTGGGGAGATTTGAAGAGCAGATGAAAATTCAGGAGATCTGGGTGGTGTGGGCCCCAGGGGTCCACAAAGAACTTATTCTGGGTCACTCACTTGAGGTCAGGAGGAGGCTTCTGGAAGTTGGTGCATAAGCAGCAGGTCCTAGCTGGAGCTAGCTTAGAGATGGGGATACCCTCTCCCAATACAGGTGGAGAAACTGAGGCTCAGAGAGTGCAAGTGGCTTGCTCAACGTCATAGCAAGCAAAGGTGGGGTATCTGTGGCCATTTGGGTGAGGTCCTTGGGGAAGAGGCAGGAAGAAGTCTCTCGGGTCTTCAGATGCTGCCAAAGACTCCAGCTGGTGACCCCCTTTGTGTTACCCCCTCTGCACAGGTATCCCGCCCTGCCCCGGCCCCTCACCCAGCAGACCCTGACCCCCCAGCCGGACCCTGGCAGTGAGGAGCGGCCGCCTGCCCTCCCCTTACCCTTGCCGGGCGGTGAGGAAAAAGCCAAACTCATCGGGCAGATCAAGCCGGAGCTGTACCAGGGGACAGGACCAGGCGGCCGGCGCGGCGGAGGGGCCCCCGGCTCGGGGGAGGCGGGCGTGGGGGCGCCATGCGGCCGCATCAGTTTCGCCCTGAGGTACCTCTATGGCTCAGACCAGCTGGTGGTGCGGATCCTGCAGGCCTTGGACCTCCCGGCCAAGGACTCCAACGGCTTCTCAGACCCCTACGTCAAGATCTACCTGCTGCCAGACCGCAAGAAAAAGTTCCAGACTAAGGTCCGGAGCAAGGGTCCAGGACATCCCGAGGAGGGGGCGGGGTCGGACTCCGGGGTTTGAGGGAGCAGGAGCTGGGCCCCGGCTCCTGGGTCTGAGGGAGGAGGCTGGGGGCCTGGACTCCTGGGTCCTTTGGAAGCGTGGTTGAAGGGTATGGTGTCTGTCTGCCTCCCTCGCCCACCGGCTCCAGGTGCACAGGAAGACTCTGAACCCCGTGTTCAACGAGACATTCCAGTTCTCAGTGCCCCTGGCTGAGCTGGCCCAGCGCAAACTGCACTTCAGCGTCTATGACTTTGACCGCTTCTCGCGGCACGACCTCATCGGCCAAGTGGTGCTGGACAACCTCCTGGAACTGGCTGAACAGCCCCCGGACCGCCCACTGTGGAGGGACATCGTGGAGGGCGGCTCGGTCAGTGGCCCCTGCACCCCTCTTCCTGGGGCCCCCTGACCCCTCAGTTTTTTACCTCCTTGCCCTTGGACTTCATAACCTTCTAGCTTCCTGACCCAGGCTTTTTTTTTTTTTTTTTTAAGATTTTATTTATTTTTGACACGCATGCAGAGAGAGTGAGACAGAGACACGAGCAGGCTTCATGCAGGGAGCCTGATGTGGGACTCGATCCTGGGTCTCCAGGATCGTCCTGGGCTGAAGGTGGTGCTAAACCGCTGAGCCACCCGGGCTGCCCTGACCCAGGCTTTTTAAAAGTTTATTTTATTGCAAAATATTTCAGAGATACAAGCAAAGTGTAGAGATTGATATAATGGACCCCCATCTCCCCAACACCCCGTCAAATATTGACATCATGCCTGGACCCCAGATCTCCCAGCTTCTGACCCCTTTTTACATCCGATAACAACTGAGAAAATTATAACAGACACCCATGTACCCATCAGCCACTTTATCATAATGTCATGCTGTGACCTCCATGACTTTTGCCCTCTGACTCCAGATTCCTGACCCTCCAACTTTTGACCCCAGAGGTCCCAGCTTTTGTTTTTCTGACTTCCTTCACCTTCCAACCTCCTGGCTTGCCAGTTCCCAAGCTTCCCAAACCCCCAGCCCCTCTTACCTCAGAACATTTTATGTTTCAAACGCCTGACCTCCAGATATAATCTCATCCTCTGGTCTCCACCTGAATCCTGATAGCCGGAACCCCCAAGCCTCAGACATACTTGAATCCCTTATATCCTGACACCTCCCAGTTCTCCCCAGTCACCAGATTGTGCCCAACACCCCCTCCCCATCCCACCACACTAGCTCCCTTGCTCTTCCATCCAATCGCTCCCGGAGCCTGGCTCCTCCATGTTTCCTGGGTGTCCTGACCCTCTCCCTGCCTCCATCCTGTCTCCTGCTTATGTGTGTCACATCTCCTCTCTCTCATCACTGGAGGTCTTCACTCATCCATCCATCTATCCATCTATCCATCCATCCATCCATCCATCCATCCATCCATCCATTCATTCCTTAAACAAGTGGCTTTTTTGTTTCAGGATCAGGACCCGGGGACCCCAGACAGTCCTTGGGAGCCCCAGGTCCAAGCTGTCACAGTTTGCTGTCAGGGGCAGTGACTGGGGACTCCAGGGACCTGGGCTTCGGTCAGTGTGGCTGTCAGGCCAGGGGCCCAGATGAGGCTAAAGGACCGGGCTGGGCAGGTCAGAGGTCCTGGCTAGTTCAGCTCTGGCTCCAGGTCCCTATGTGTGTGCTGATGTGGGAGGCTCTGTCTCATTTGTAGTTTCACTTAGGATTGGTGTGTCTCCTATGCTCCCCAAGACTGACTTCTCAGGGTCTGCCACACTGGACCCCTGTCCCTTATCTGCTCTGTGCAGGTTTCTCTCTGTGTGTGTCTCTCTCTTCTCTGGGTCTTTGCTCTTCCCCCCACCTCATTCTGGGTCTCTATCACTGTCTGGGTCTCCATGCCCTCCACCTAGTCTCTCCCCATGTCTCCAGATCTCCTGCACCTTGGGGGCTTTGACATGCCCCCCACCCCGACTCTGTCTCTCCCTCTGGGTCTCTGTCCTTCTTTCTTCCTATACTTGTCTCTCTGGAAGTCTGTTCCTCTGCTCTCTCTCACTTTCTGTTGGAGCAGCATTGTCTCTGGGTCTCTATGCCCCCCCCACTCTGGGTTTTCTTTTTCTTTTTTAAAGATTTTTGTTTATTCACTTGACAGAGAGAGCACAAGCAGGGGGAGTAGGAAAGGGACAAGCAGGCTCCCCACTGAGCAGAGAGCTCAACCTGGGTTTGATCCCAGGACCTCCAGGATCACAACTCGAGCCAAAGGCAGACTCCCAACCAACCAAGTCACCCAGGTGCCACTAGGTTTTCTTACTTTACGATTCTATGGGTCTCCTTTTCTAACTGTATCTTTCAGGGGCCAGATCCCTGTCACAGTTTATTTCTCACTGTGTTCTTCTCTCTCTTTCTCTCTGGCTCTTTGCTGCTCTCTCTCCACACTCATGCCTATTACAATTTTCCCTACAGAACAAATAGGCTTTGCTGGTGGCAGGCAGCTGTGGCCAGGGAGTTACCAGGTCAGATTGGCCAAGTCAGATTGTTAGGTGAATTGGAAACCTGAGTCCTGGAAATCCAGGAGGAGAGCTGGAAGCTCCAGATGGGAGAGAATGTGAGGGAGAGATTGGGGGGATGGGGGACTGAGGCAGGGTATTGCTGAACCCCTTTCTCCAAACTTCAGGAAAAGGCAGATCTTGGGGAGCTCAACTTCTCACTCTGCTACCTCCCCACGGCCGGTCGCCTCACCGTGACAATCATCAAAGCCTCTAACCTCAAAGCGATGGACCTCACCGGCTTCTCCGGTGGGTTCCAGGAGTTGCTGGGGCCTGAGGGAGGAGTGTCTGGGGCCTGGACTCCTGGGTCTGAGGGAGGAGTGTCTGGGGGCCCATGCTCCTGAGTCTGAGGAGTACAGGGACAGGACCCCTGGGTCTGAGAGAGGAGCAGTGTGGGGTCCAGATTCGGGTCTGAGGGAGGAAGTCGAGATTCACTGCTCTTGATGCCCGCCCCCAGACCCCTACGTGAAGGCCTCTCTGATCAGCGAGGGGCGGCGTCTGAAGAAGCGGAAAACCTCCATCAAGAAGAATACGCTGAACCCCACATACAACGAGGCGCTTGTGTTCGACGTGGCCCCGGAGAGCGTGGAGAGCGTGGGGCTCAGCATCGCGGTGGTGGACTACGACTGGTGAGGGTCGTGGCCCGGGCGGGCGGGTGGCCCGGGGGTGGGGCCGGACCTGCCCCCTCCTGCCTCGGCTGCTCACAGCCCTCCCCGCTCCCCCAGCATCGGGCACAACGAGGTGATCGGCGTGTGCCGCGTAGGCCCGGACGCCGCTGACCCCCACGGCCGCGAGCACTGGGCAGAGATGCTGGCCAACCCCCGAAAGCCCGTGGAGCACTGGCATCAGCTGGTGGAGGTGAGTGGGAGGCCACCCAGTGCCACTCGCCCCGCGGTTCGCGCGGAGCATCCGTCTTGGCGCTGCGGCGTCAGACCACCCGGGTTGGAATCCCGGCTCTACCGACTTTAGCTGTGCGGCTTAGAGCACGTTACTTAACCTCTCTGTGTCTCAGCTTATTCTGCGTCGGAAATGGGGTTGTTAATAGCATTTAAAGTTGGATAGATGTGAGGATTCAGTGAGTTAATGCAGGATTAAGTGTCTGCCTCTCTATAAGGGCTCAGCAAGTGGTCAGCTACTCTTACTATTATTTCCCATGATGCTAAATGCAAAATAAATGGGAAAAACCGAGTGGTGAGATGCAGCAGGGTTGGGATTTTAGGGGTCTTGGTTTGGTTCGGTTTAAAGCAGGATATAATTGAAAATCAGCGGATTGTGGTTTACTGGGTGGGGATCAACATTTTTTTTCTCAATAAGGAAATGAAGTCAAAATAGAACAGAACATTTCACAGGGCAGCACCCATTGTAAGGATCATACTGTCAATTTTTTTTCTTCTTCTTCTTCTTTTTTTTTTTGGTCTTGTGGATTATGGTCCAAAAGGCTTGGAAGTCTGGGAAGTAGAGGACACCTGGATGAGGGATGCGGGATGCCTTTTGGCTTAGGGCGTCCTGAAGGGCCTCTCAGTGGAGGTGACATTTGAACAGATGCTTGGAGATTGAGAATGAAGGCGTTAGGTAAAGGCTTGGAGGTTAGGAGAAGCTCACAGGGAGAGAACACGGCTGGGCACGGCTTCCTCCTAAGCAAGAAGGAGCCAGGGCAGGCTCTGAGCCTGGAGCAGAGAAGGAAGGGGGAAGCCAGCAGATGACAGGAGGCCTACGGGTCACAGGAGAATCAGCTTGCTAATTTTTTAAAAACTAAAAATCATTTATGATCATCACAGAGTCAAGAGAAATTTTCAAACATGGCTATTCTCTCATTTGAACCCCCCCCCCAGGGGATCCCTGGGTGGCGCAGCGATTTGGCGCCTGCCTTTGGCCCAGGGCACGATCCTGGAGACCCTGGATCGAGTCCCACGTCGGGCTCCCGGTGCATGGAGCCTGTTTCTCCCTCTGCCTGTGTCTCTGCCTCTCTCTCTCTCTCTCTCTGTGACTATCATAATAATAAATAAATAAATAAATAAATAAATAAATAGGAAAAAAAAAAGAAACCCCCCCCAAAAGGGACACCTGGGTGGCTCAGTGGTTGAGCGTCTGCCTTCCACTCAGGGTGTGATCCCAGGATCCTGAGATCAAGTCCCACATCGGGCTCCCCGCAGGGAGTCTGCTTCTCCCTCTGCCTGTGTCTGTGTCTCTCAAGAATAAATAAATGAAATCTTTAAAATTTTTTTAAATTAAAAAGAAAGCAAAAAAAATCACAGAAGTAGATTTTGAAAATATTATCCACGAATTGACTTTTATTAAAGCTAAGAGAGTAAAATCACACTAAATTCTATTTAGAGGATAAATAAACATTTAAACTGAATGTAACATGAATTACAATACACATTACTCTTTGTGGTTTTTTTTGTTTTTGATATTTTAGAAATTATTTTAAGTTTCCAGAAAAAAATTAACCATAAAAAATAGATAAAAATAAGGCTGCTTATTTTTCCTTTTGTCTCAGGCTCTGATATGACATGGGACTGACCTCTATTTAAAATTTGATTTAACAAATCAAATTGGATTTTTTGGACTCATTTTGATTTTTAAAAATATTGCATTGTAGTCGTATTTCTCTTGATTGCTGAGTTGGGGGGTACTCGTGAAATTTGGCACCCAGGGTGAATTCCTCCAAGGCCTGACTATAGCTCAGCCTTGCTTTGGACTTTGCTTCCACCGATGAGGAGGGATTGTAAGCAGCAGAGCACAGAGCTCAAGTGTGAGTGTCGAAAAGACTGAGTCTATTTGGAGAGACAGATGCAGCTCTGCTTGTGCTGAGCAATGCTGGTTGCAGAGAGAGGAGTGGAACCCTGGCTGAGTGGGGGTCCTGACCCTGGCTTGTAGCTGATAGTGCCATAGTGCATGGCCCCAGAAGGTCTTTCTACCGCCAGCTCTGACCTTGCACCTTCTCTGCTCACTGCCGTCCCTGGCTCCCCAGAATCTCCAAAACAGAGTGTCAGCTTCTCTGAGGCTGCTCAGATGGTCTGCCCCATCAACCCTGCTGCCTCATATTCCCGGTGATTTTTTCTTTATACCTCAGGGTCCCTGTCTATAGAATAGAACTGTAATATCAGCTGGCTCATCACTTCAGAGCTGAGTGGAAAAAAGCATTGTAAATGATGAAAACAGGTTTGATGTCTTATTATGTTGATCATTAGCAGTTGTCTTGCATCTCTATCCCCCATACCTGAAATTTCTGGATTTCCTTATTCAGGAAAAGACTTTGTCCAGCTTCACGAAAGGCAGCAAAGGATTGTCAGAGAAAGAGAACTCAGAGTGAAGGGTAAGGAACCCAGACCAGGGAAAAGAGGTTGGGGTCCTGGATTCCTGGGTCTGAGGGTGGAGGGACCAGAGGATGGAGTGACAAGGGACTAGGATTCCTGGGTCCCTGGGGTGTTGATGGAGCTACAACAGGTCACGGGCCCTTTCTCTGCCATCACTGACATCTCCTCCTGCCCCATCCCACAGGTCTGGCCAAGGCCCAGGATCGGACCAGGCCCCCTCAGGACCCCATCCCTTCCTGCCCGGACCGTGAATTCATCTCCTTGAAGCCATAACGTCCGAGCTGCGTGGTGCGGGGCAGTCCTGGGCCTGCCCGTCCTTCTACCCCGCTAGGTGTGAGGGTGGGAGGCAGGAGGGCCCAGCTCCCTGTTTCAGGGTGGGGGGCATTCAGTCTCCACTCTGTCTTTTCTTCCCCAGGGCTCCCCTTCCAGGCAAGGGGCCATGCATGTCTGGGGGACCCCAGCCCCCCAAACCCTTTGTCTTTCTGTCTCTTTGCTGTTTGTCCAAGACGGTGTCCTGACCTTTGTTCTCTCCGTGAATGTCAACAGACCAATCCTCCGTATTCCCCCAGACACACACACGCACACCTGTGTCTACTTTTTCTGTTCAACACTCCCTGCGTCTGGCCGATTCCCCCACTGCTGCTGCTACCAACACCAGAATAAACATACACCGTGGGTCTCACTCCACCTGGGACTCCTGTTCTCTCTGGGACTGGGAAGCTGGGTTGGAACATCATGGCTCTGGCTTCAGACAAATGTTTCATTCACTGTCTGGGTGACCTCTGGAAACTAAATCTTATCTCTCGGAGCCTTAGTTTGTAAATGTTAAATTTGCCAGCAATGCTATGATTATAGGACACAAGATACAAACCAAACTACTGTAAGCCACAAACAGAACTGTACATGGTGAGTCTGAGCATCTAGGAGGACTTCAGGCATGGTTGGATCAAGGCGTTCAAGTGACTGCATTGCTCCTTAGGACTTCATTCTCAAGCAAGTCTTTGCAATAGTAATAAGATGGCCATTTGGCTCCAAGCTCATAATGCTGTGTCTGTTATGATGGTTTTAGCTGCATAAAACAGAATTCCAACGAAAGAACTGAAATAATAGAGATTTCTTTTGCTCACATAAGAAATCTTTCAGGGACACCTGGGTGGCTCAGCAGTTGAGTGTCTGCCTTTGGTTCAGGGCGTGATCCCAGGATCTGGGATTGAGTCCCACATTGGGCTCCTTACAGGGAGCCTGCTTCTCCCTCTGCCTATATCTCTGCCTCTCTCTGTGTCTCAAATAAATAAATGAATAAATAAATAAATAAATAAATAAATAAATAAATAAATAAAATAAATAAATAAAATCTTAAAAAAAAAAGAAATCTTTCAAAGAGACACAGTCCCAGTGTTAGTTCAGCTGCTCAACAACGTCAAGCACTGGGTTGACATCTCTGAGATTCGTTTTGCCTTCCCCTCACGAGTACAAACTGCAGCAACACCATGCATTATGTTCTTACATAGTGGCATCTAAAGCAGGAAATGTAGATGGGGCCACCCCTTAGGTGTTCTCCCAGAACACAAATTATTTCTCATTTACCAGAACTGGGTTCAGTAGTCACTCTGAGTCGCAAAGAAACCTGGGAAAGTGACCATCTATGTGGGTTTTGCCCACGAGGCAGCACAGAGAGGAGAATGATTGTTGGGTAGGAAATTAACAGGACCCACTATTATCATCCTCAAGGTAGATACTTTCAGAGGAAACAAAACTGGGTTTCCCTTTCTCCCTGCCTCCATATCATTCAGGAAAAGGATTCTGATGGCTCCTGTTAGGGCCTTGGATGACCACTTCAGGCCAATCATATAGCCAGTTGGCAAGCTTGCTCTTGGCACCTCCTCCCATGATGGAGTCCTCTTCCGCTGCTTATCTCACTGGGACTGGCTCAGACCCCCTCAGGACCTCATCCCTTCCTGCTCAGCTATGACTCATCTCCTGAAGTCATAAGGCTCTTTAGTAGAGAACATAGGGATCCCTTATGTTCAACATAAGTTAACCCCAATAGAATCACATCTCAGTGGGCAGGTACAGTCCTTCAAAGTAGTAGATGTCTACTACATCCCTCCCTTGGCTACTTGCATTAATTCACAGCCACTTGCTCATATACACCATTTCAAAAAATTCTACTATCAAAAATGGTACAACCACAGTATTAGTTTGCTATGGCTGCTGTAATGAATTAACCACAAAACTGCCCAGAAATTATGCTTTCAAAGTTCTGGAGACCAGAAGTCTGAAATCAAGGTGTCGGCAGAGTTGGGACTCTGGGACTCTGGGATCTTGTTCCATGCCTCTCTCTGAGCTCCTGGAAGTTGCTCTCAATCTTTGGCATTCCTTAGCTTGTAGTTGCATCCCTCCAATCTCTGCCTCCATCTTCACCTTCACCTGTGTGTCTCTGGGTCTCACATCTCCCTCTGCCTTTCTCAGATCTCTCTCTTTTTTAGCATTGATCTTTTTTTCATTGAACTCCAACTAGGGTTACATTTATTCTCTTTTCTCAAAGAGTGAAGAACACTTTTCAAACCCTAATAAATGTCAAGGTTATAAAGATACAATCCCATTTATAAAGTTCTTCCAAAGATAAATAGGGCAGCCTATTAGCATCCACAAGAATTGCAAGTTAATTTTAACCTAATAAATATCCTGAAAATTCCCATAAGGAGACTCCATCATGCCAGAGGAACTTCTGCTTTAAACTAATGTCACGGAATCCCTGGGTGGCGCAGCGGTTTGGCGCCTGCCTTTGGCTCAGGGCGCGATCCTGGAGACCCGGGATCGAATCCCATATCGGGTTCCGGGTGCATGGAGCCTGCTTCTCCCTCTGCCTATGTCTCTGCCTCTCTCTCTCTCTCTCTGTGACTATCATAAATAAATAAATTTTTAAAAAATAAATAAACTAATGTCACACTCTACTGGTTTCTTGGGCATGCTGTTAGCTTACTTTTCTTGCAGTCTGTGATGATGCCACTACCTTCTGCACGATTCATCTGGTACCCAAGTGAGCTCCAAAGTGAGACTGCCTCGTTTCAAATTCCTCCTCCACACATATTAGCTCTGTGACTTTGGGCAAAGTGTATAACCTCTCAACGCCTCAATTTCTTTCTGTAAGATGATAATGCCTACTTCACAAGAATGTTACCCAGAGTAAATGAAAGAATGCACACAAAACACTTAGCACATACTTGGTGCATAGTAACATGACTCTAATGGTAGCCATTAATATTGATAATAACAATGATTATTATAATTGCTAATAATTATATTAGGGGATCCCTGGGTGGCGCAGCGGTTTGGCGCCTGCCTTTGGCCCAAGGCGCGATCCTGGAGACCCGGGATCGAATCCCACATCGGGCTCCCGGTGCATGGAGCCTGCTTCTCCCTCTGCCTGTGTCTCTTCCTCTCTCTCTCTATCATAAATAAATAAATTTTTAAAAATTTAATAATTATATTAGAGTATATTTGGGCATTAGGAATCTTCATAATCATTTGAATATTGACTGACTTAATACATGTGTCAGCTGTTCCAGAAGGCAGCAAGATATTTCAGTGCAAGAAAGTGTAAATAGGAGAAGACAATTTTTTTTTGCCACTTCACCTTGAACGAGTCTAACTTGGTTTCAATTGTCCCTGCACCATTTTTTTCTGCCTTTCTTTTATAAGGACACCAATCATTGGGGTTATGGGTCACTCTTAATTCAGAATGATCTCATCTGGAGATCCTTGACTTAATTACATCTGTAAAGATCCATTTTCCAAATGAGGTCATGTTCACAGGTTCTGAGGGATGAGGACATGGTCATTGTCTTTTGGGGGCCACCATTCCATATGCTACATCCACCTTGAAGACTAACTTATCAGTTTCTTATAAAGTCAACACAGACTTACCTTGTGGCTCAAATCCCAGTCCCGACTATTTACCCATGAGAAATAAAAGTGTATGTCCCCACGAATATTCACATCAACCTTACACATAAGGTTGATAAGGTCACATCAACCTTATTCATAATAGCCTCAATCTGGAAAACTGGAAACAATTGAAATGTCCATCTTTGGGAATGGATAAACAAATTGTATACCCACAGGATGGATGACAAATCAGCAATAGAAAGAACTACCTACTGATGTGGGTAGCAGATAAATCTCAAAAACAGTATGTCTTGTGAAAAAAGCCAGACACAAAAGAGTACAAACAGAATGATTCCATTTCTGTGAAATTGTAGACAATGGAATACTAATCTATAGGAACATAAATCAATCAGGGTTGCCTGGGGCTTGAGGAAGTGGGGATGGGGGATTGATCACACACAGACACAAAGGAACATTTTGGGATCACGGAACTGTTCTGTTTCCTGACTATGGACGGGGGCATACACCATATACATTTGTCAAAACTAATTGGACATTACACTTAAAATTGATGCATCAAAAGTCATTTAAGTGTGGTGAGATACACGTATCATAAAACTTATCCTAACCCTTTATAAGTGGACAGTTTAGTGTTAAGTCTATGTACATTGTTGTGCAACCAATCTCCAAAACTTTTTATCTTGCAGAATGGGAGCTTTGTCCCCATTAAACAATAACTTCCCATTCCCCCCTCCTCCTAGCCCCTGGCACCCACCACTCTACTTTCCCTATAAATCTGATTACTCTATATACCTCATATAAGTGGAATTATACAGTACTGTCCTTCAATTTTAACAAACGTACCACAATAATGCAAGATGTTAATAACAGGGGGAACTAGAGGTAGGCTTGTGAGGGTGTAGGGAATTAAGGTAAAGGGTTCCTATATGGCATATGGTCTCCCCTAATGGTAAATGGGAACTCTGTACTTTTTGTTCAGTTTTTTCTGTAAGCCTAAAACTGCTAAAAAAAAAAAAAGCCAATTAATTTTTTAAATCATGGATAACACATGCCAGTTGGGCAAAAACAACAGGTGTGCATTATACAGGTCCTTAGCTGCAGTAGGTGTCCGCTCTAATAATAGTTTGCATGTCCGGGCTGCTTATGGAGACTAGAAGACGTAACAAAGGTGTTTCCTTTGCATACTTAAGTATTTGAGACCAAGGTCATTTATTATTCCTGGGCACACCGTTTGTCTCCTCCTCTGAGAGCGGTCCCTAGGCTTGCCTTTCGACTTCGCCAGTGGAGAGATGTAGCCAATCAAGAGTGGTTCGCCTGTGACATCACCAGTCACCAAGGTCTCCAAGGATCCAGCGCGCCGTGGCGCCCTCCGGCGGGGAAAGGGAGGCTGTGTCTGAGAGAGCCGGACCGGATCGTTGACTCCCGCAGGGAAGCCCGCCCGGTGCTACACACCTCATGCCCCCTGGTGACTCAAGTCACTTTGCGCCTCCACGTTGCCAGTGCTTGCGGGAGTAAGCCGGGCCAGGAGAGAGAAATGCTGAGGGGAAAGGAAGATAAAAATTCCCTGGCATCCAATGACATACAGGAATCCAATCAGATTAGCGGCTCCAACGAAACAGCGCAGGTGTCCAATTAGATCCCGCAGAGTTGCCATGACGACACGCGTCTCCGGAGGGTTTGCAAGGTCGGGGAGTTCGGGCGCTGAGCGCCACCTGGCGCCGGCCGACACTTGGCCGCTCACGCCACCGCCAACAACGC